GAAGAAATTCAGTGAAGGAATTTAGTTCAGTGGCTGTATTCGTGGACATTACTAATTGGCCTCGTCAGAAGACAGGGATTGGGCGACTGTCCTAGAATACTTTGTTTCGCATGATTGGATAAAATCGAACATAAGAGCTAGAAATTTAAATTAATATTTAATCACAAGGTTCCTGGAATTCAATAGACTAATATAAATGCATGGAAGTAAAACAAGTTTTGTTTATATGGGTGGCGCGCACATTAGAGCGTGTTCTGTGCTCGTCTTGCTAGTTCTCTCGTGATGATTGGATCGACAGCAGAATCACTTCTGGAGACGATTAAAAAGAAAATTCTTGCTTCTAAAGTTACTGTTAAAGCGTTAACTTCGGAACTTGAGAGCAAGCAAGCTCTTCTTAAGGCTGAACAAGAGAAACGGGAGAAGGTATCATGGGATCCCAGTTGCATTTTTCACGAATAAATGGAAGTACGGCAAACACTTCTAATTTTAGGCCGAGGCTGAAGTTGCTGCCCTCCAACGTCGTATTCGTCTCCTCGAAGACGATCTTGAGAGCACAGATACTCGTCTTACGGACGCCACTGCCAAGTTGGAGGAAGCCAGCAAGGCGGCTGACGAGAGCGAGCGGTTAGTCTATTTGTTTGCCTGTCAGTTGAGACTCTCTGCATGTCTCTTGCATGTTGGCCGCATTTTGCCTCCTTGCAGCTTTCGTCGCGCATTGCAGTCGCGTCAGGTAACTGATGACACACGTATAGAGGAACTGCAACAGAAGATTCAAAAGACTGCTAAGGAGGCAGCTGAGGCTGAACGCAAATATCAGGAGGTACTTAACACAGTCTAATACATTTTTTCTTTTCTCTTTTAACGACATCCAGAGGTTGTAAAGTTCTCGAGAACCGCACAGTTGCTGACGAGGAGCGAATTTCTTCCCTGGAAGAGCAGCTGAAAGAGTTTACCTTTATGGCCGAGGACGCCGATAGGAAATATGATGAGGTGCCTTGCATGACATCAGAAAAGTAGTAGCATGCAGTCGTGTCAAGTTTCAACGCATACGGTTGCTCCATTGGCATGATGTCCACGTCCAAAATTGTGGAAAAATCACTGTGTAAATTATTTTGATCACCTTTAGTCTTCACGCAAACTCGCTATGTCAGAGGTGGACTTGGAGCGCGCAGAGTCCCGTCTTGAAGCAGCCGAAAGGTTATTATTTATCCAGACTACCTGTTCTCCCCATTCATTTTATTTGGCTTGCGCCTGTTGCCTGCACATGCATGCGTTCACATTCCTTTCTTCCTCTTCCCCCTGTCCATCCCCATCCAGGCAACTCAGGAACTTGCAACAGCAGAGAACGCCCTAGCTGCTGCAGAAAAGCGAGTCGAAGATGCAGAGGAGTAAGTTACCTTTTTGTGAAACTTGTCTTTCATAATCCTCCTCTCTGCTATGTGTTTGGTGCATATTTTTCACAGACGCATCCATTCAATGGAACACGAGCTGCGTGCTATTACGACAAACCTCAAAACCATGGAACTCAGTGAATCCACGGTGAGTGATTTCTCAACACTGTTTGATTTCGTTCGTTATTTGCGTTAAACTCATAACAACGTTTCTCTTTCAGCCCCTTGAACATTTCCATAGCATGATGTCTCACATTTGGCATGTCGCAAGAGTCATTTCAGCATTAGGTACCACCGTAGGGTGGTAGTTCATTTGCAAACACGCATGTTTTCGAGGTCTAGTTTGGGCATGTTCACAGCGAAAGTGAGCTTACCATTGATCTCTGACGCGTAGGAAAATCCTCGATCTGGAAGATGAGCTCCGCATCGTTGGCAACAACATGAAATCTCTTGAGATTTCCGAGCAGGAGGTAATGCTAGCATATCGCCCATGGGGTTAGCAGTCGTATTTCTTTCGTGACCAACTACTTGGAACGCTCATATTTATAATGTGCTTAGGCGGCGCAACGGGAAGAGGCCTATGAAGAGAACATTCGTGATCTCACTGAGCGCCTTAAGGCCGTAAGATTCGCTCGCAAGCTCACCTAACGCATGTCTCTTTATTTTTTTCTGTCCCTGTCTCCTACTCCACATTGCATGATCTCGTACGCTGCATGTGCTATGCCTCCGCACACCCAGGCCTCAAAGCAGAAACAGACCTACCAAGCCACACTGGAGAAGTTGACCAAACAGTTAGCAGAGGTAGGTGTTGGTGTTGTTGTTGACATTGTTGGACTTTGCCCATCTGGGTATCCCGATGTGAATGTGAGTGTGGGTGAGCAGGTGTGGGTGTGCTAGGAATAGACTCAGAGAACTCCATCAAAGCTTGCGCCGGAGGCTGGCTGACC